TGTGTGTATGTATTGACAAGTAGGTAGGTAGAGGGATAGAGAGAGAAAAATATAGAGAAATGCAGTAGATAGGTGGGGGGGAGAGAGAAAGTAGGTAAGTAGGTATATAGGTAGATAGAGGGAGAGAGAAAGAGAGAAATACAGTAGATAGATAGATATTTCCAGATATATTTATCCATGTGCTGGAGAAGGAAATCGCTGACAACCTGTGACACCTAAAACTTTGTTTCTGCTGGCACAGCACTTGACCAATGTAATTCTTATCAACCACATTAAATAAAGAGCTTTCTGAAAGGGGGGGTTGCACTTTGCAAATCTCCCCAAAACGGCCCGTTTTTCACAAAAATGAGCCGTTTTTTAAAAAAGGCATGAATAGCCTGGGGGGGGGGGCTTGCAGAGTGCTACTGTAGGTGGGGGTCAAAAATGAGCAAAAACTGCCTGTTTTTTGCGAAAACGGGCCATTTTTTGTCAAAAACAAAATGCATGCATAACCTTATGGAGGCTTATAGAGTGCTGCTGGGGACTGGGGGGAACAGCCTCCATAAGGCTATGCAGGGCCATTTTGGTGAAGGGGCGGGGCTTCAGGAGGCAAAAAATGCTGTATTCAGTGTACAAGACATACCCAGATTTTCAGCCCCTTTTTAGAGGAAAAAAGGTGCGTCTTATACTCCAAAAAATACGGTAATTTCAACACTGTCAAAAGTTACCTACTAGGGCTGTATTACTATTCTCATCTTTCCTATTATCTATCGCATCATTTGCTTGTAACTAATAACTTGGTTGTATCTTACGATTTATATTCATTGTTTTATTTAGTATCCTAGGATTATTCATCTTGATTGTTTATTTAGTATCCTATGACTATCACTGAGTGTTGTATCTTATGATTTATGATGAATGTATTTTATGATTATAATCATGATTTATCATTTGTATGTACTGAGAGCTTATGCACCGGAGACAAATTCCTTGTGAGTTCAATCACACTTGGCCAATAAAGAATTCCAATTCTAATGATCACATAACCACTATGATGGTCAGAAATGTCAGATTATCTATCCCACATCATTCTTTTTACCGAAATATTAAATACGTAATTGGCTCACATCTAGTCAATTTATATTCAAAAAGGTTGCTTAAATACTTGGAAACAGAATATGAATGAGGCCATTGTTCCATTTGTTTCAAATTTGAAAGATGTCAGAAAAAGAATTAAGATGTTCTTTCAGAACTAGTAGTATTTATTTTTTCTTTAAGGAAACAAATTTTGAACATTCCAGTGTATATAGTTGATTATGAATTAAGCACAGAACTCCTGAACAAAGCATTCTATAATACAGAAAAATGTCAAACAAATTGGACCATGCTACTGTCCCTAAAAGATTGTTAAAATTAAGAAGTTGCATAACCTTAATTTTTAATATACATTTCTACTACATTTTCTAATGTTTCCATTCTAATTCATCTTTATTTATAATTTTCATACCTTACTCTCAACAACATAATTTATTCCTTCATAGCTTTTATATTTATATATTCTGGGAGATGTCTTTTAAAGCTGCATCTGGAAAATATTCTTTAGAATTCAGTTACCTCTCCATGGCTTCAAATTTCATACCAGTTAACCGTTTAACTCTATGGCTCCCAGGGAATTGCCGTCTAAGTTCTTGAAGGCAATACTATAAATTCAAAACATGAAGAAAAATGAGAAGGGAAGGAACATAATTTTCAAATGTTTCAGTGATGTTTATTTGAATGCAGTAACTAAGAGATTCATCTGGCAACCCATCCCAGCACAACCAAAATATCAAATTAACACTTCAACAAAATGTGAAAAAAGCCAGTATATTTAGATAGATCCAAGACTACAAATGTATTCAAAACAGAGTTTAAAAAAAAACCTAAAGGAATATATAACTAATTAACAAGATCAGGTTTTTTCCCTTTTCAAACATATAATGCAAAAAGCTCTTTGTGCACAATTTTACATAAAAATACATCATATTTAATTTGGATTTACCAAATCTATTACTGTAATATTTACTGTAATGAATCTATTTAAACTGAAAACAACTATTATTATTTCACCTAAATCAATTAGCAGCTGTTAAATACCAATAACCGTCAGACAGAACCAAATTCCAAATTCAATTACTTTAGGGAATCATTGCTTGGAGACATGATTAGAAGCTATCAAAAATAATAAAACATGAACATTATATAGACTGAAAAGATTACATGTTTTGTAGCTAGAAGGCCTAAATCTAAAAACTACTACAGAAAAGATATTTGACAAGACAAGCGATCATAAGGAATAAAGTGATAGTAAAGGTAAGACCTCACACATGAGTGTCAATTAAAAGATTAGAACTGACTTTGAAAGACTGAATGAGGGTTTGCAGACACAAAGGAAGGCAAAAAGTTAGATTCTGCTCTTTTAAAAAAGGCCGACAGCTAAAAATCACATCCAAGTCACGATCACGGGAGTATAAATCCATACTGACAGGAGGGAAATTCAAAAATCATGTTAGAAAGTATTACTTCACAGAAATAGTGGAAGCTTGGAACCAACTTCCATTGAAGGTAGTGGGTCAATCGTTTGTAACTGAGTTTAAATATTCTTGGGATGTGATTTTTAGCTGTCGGCCTTTTTTAAAAGAACAGAATCTAACTTTTTGCCTTCCTTTGTGTCTGCAAACTCTCATTCAGTCTTTCAAAGTCAGTTCTAATCTAAGTCAGTTCTAATCTCCTGTGTGAGGTCTTACCTTTACTATCACTTTATTCCTTATGATCGCTTGTCTTGTCAAATATCTTTTCTGTAGTAGTTTTTAGATTTAGGCCTTCTAGCTACAAAACATGTAATCTTTTCAG